ATTTCCACATCAACCAGAAAACACTAATAGAACTGACTATACTTATTCACACTTTTAAAATAATGCAGGCCAAAATTGCAGGACATACCACATCAAAGTACAAATGGAATGGCATTCCATTTCTCCTTCAATCAGCCTTTGAGGTGGTAAAGATTTTCACTTGCAGCCCAGAATGTCCACCTATGTTTGCAGAACAGTACCTGTTTACCTTTTAACAGCACTATAAAGATTGTATATTGTAGGAACTTTTTATATAATTTAACTAATGTAAATAATACATCATTTTCAATAGAATTCAAGTTGGTCCAAGGAAAATCAGGTTTACTATTTAATTTCTTTAATCGTTCCTCTCATCAGTTGTCAGCAGATGGCACTGCAACCTTCTAAAGCATCTTGGATGCAACACCAATGATTTATTGGATATCTTTACAGACCTCTCAGCCACAGCAAGCAGACGCTCTGGACGGAAAGTGCCTTCTGTGTCAATATACATGGCCTTCCCTTCGCCACCACCTCGATCAATAGGGAGCTGAGAAAGACAAAACCAGAATGTTACAAGAGTGTTTAGAACTCTTTTAAGATAAATGTAGCTGCATCTTCCAGCATTGTGCATAGTTTAAATATATTTAGTATATCTGGAGTACTGTCTGAAGATCCCCCCAAAAAACGGACCCCCAAAAAACCACACATACAAAAAATGCAAAGACTGATTATTTTGTTTGTAATTCATGGAGCAAAGCCAGGTAACATTTTTAGAATGTATGTAAGCTAAAATGGAAATGTGGGAAGGGCTATTTAAAAACCAACTAGTGTCTATTCTACATTTACCAAAATACTACTGGCTGCCCCTAGAATATTGTGTCCCCAATCCCCCTCCCTTACTCGCTGCAGCAAAATGTGGAGGTGATAGGCTGCTCCTTCCCCACATGATTCTTGTGAACTGGTCAGCACCATCACAGGTGCAACTTGCTTGTGAGGCACACAGCTTTGTTATCCTTGGCGAAACTTGCCAGGGATGCTCACAGGGACTGCATAGTAAGAAAGCCATTGTCATCAATGTGTTTTTAGGAAATACAGAGCAAAACCAGAAACTTGCCAGGGATGCTCACAGGGACTGCATAGGAAGAAAGCCATTGTCATCAATGTGTTTTTAGGAAATACAGAGCAAAACCAAAGTCTTTTTAATGTGGAACAAGGGGTGAAAACCCTGAATCAGGTTTGGGCTATTGTGTAAACAGCTCAGATCCAATTTCGGTTTGGGGGCTTCACAGTGTAAACAGCATGTAAACAGCCCGAGGGGAATTTGAGGTATATAGTTAATGTAGACAAGCCCTAGCAGAGTCATGTCTGTGGTGAGTATCAAGTGACTATGATATGCTATAGTTGTTGTGGTGTCTTCAGGTCATTTCAGACTTATGGCAACCCTAAGTCAACCCTATCATGAGGGTTTTTTTTTTTAGAGGAGGTTTGCTATTACCTTCCTTTGAGGCTGAGAGCATGTTACTTGTGCAAAGTCACCCAGTGGGTTTCATGGTTGAGTGGGGAAACAAACCCTGGTCTCCATAGTATCAGTCCAACACTCAAACCACTATGCCACACTAGCTGATATGCTGCTAGACACTTTGTGGAATTTCTTATCCATTGGTCATACTCTAATAAATAATATGGCACAATTTGACAGATCACACGGGACAAGACTTCCTGTCCATTTAAAACTAGCTGAGAAATCCAGATCCATAGTCCTTCTGAGAGATATTATCTGCAAGGTGTGACAAATTTATTCAGGATCCAAGATGGGGGGAATTGTTGGTGAGGGAGAGAGAATTCTAGAAGAAAAGACTGAGTACAGTGAGAATCAAGCAGTGAGAAGTATTTTAGTTTTTTATTTAAATATTCCCGACTGAATGGTGCTTTTTTCAATTTTAACATCACAGGGGCTTCAAAATTCTTTCTGCACAACATTCTACTTAACAGTTAAATTACTTACTTGACAGGTTACAGCAAGTGTGTGACATAATTGAGTTTTGCCTGTGCGGAATTCTCCAAACATTTCCGTTATAGACCCTGTTTCTATTCCTCCTTGATAAGAAAAAGACTTAGGTTCAAGACTCTTCTCTGTAATTATTTACAACGCATACATATCACAAATGTAAACATTCAAGCGCCTAGGAACCTTAAAGATCTCACTGATTTCTTAGTTTTGGAAAATGACTTATACTAAATTATTGCTTCAGGAGCAACACCCAAAGTAATTTAGTAGTTCTCAGATAGTAATAGTGGACAGAATTTGGATAATGGGAAGTTCCTAAGGGTAAATTAGCTGTACTACAGGACATATTTTTGTTCCTCTTATACTATGAAAAGTATTTACCATTATACAATTACATATGGATTTTGGGGTGAAGTTACTGCTTGAGTGTTTCTTTGCTGAATTATTTTTGTATTGATTACCTGCTACAGAATGTGATATATGATCCAACAAGTTATAAGATGTTTTTGTGAAACAGAGATGCAATCATTTGAAATGAACTAGCATTCTCAGTAATGTAATCCTAATATGTCTACTTAGAAATAAACTGCACTGAGCTCAGTGTGACTTACATTCAAGTTAACAGGTTTAGGATTAAGTCTAACGTGAAATTCAGTATTTGTGTGGTCTATAACTAGATTTCCTCTTACATTAGCACTTTGATGAGATATATATATATATATATATATATATATATATATATATATATGCATTTGACTTTTGTTACTGCACTTAATTTTTGTTTATAGTTTGTAATAAATAAAACAAAGATTAAATCAAGGACTAACCATATCCAGATACATACCTTGAAGGAGCTTGTCAAGTTCTTTGGATCCAGTAGTGATTTGAATGATCTCTGACCTCCGTTGATGAAACTCTGTTGCTGTTGTGAAGCCCATTGGAACTAACTTCGCTGCTTCTGCCTGAGAAAAACAGGACAGTCAGAATATTGAGTAGCAAAATGAAATAACGCTGCATTCCTATATTAAAACTTTCATTTACAATGCTATAATGCTTTCTTTAAAAGCCATGTTAAAATACAATTAGAACAAAGTGGACAATCATATCTTACTTGAAAACTTTCAAAGAAAATTGTTCAAACGAAGTAACAGAGAAAAATAATAATAATAATAATACATTTTATTTTTATACCGCCCATTGGTAGTTCAATCCAGGCGGTTTACAGCATAAAAATTACATATAACATAAAACAACATTTTCCCTCCCACTTAGGCTAGGCCCCATGGAGATGGGCCTACATTTCTCCCCCAGATGTCAGATGGAGTGGAGGGTGGGCTCTTCTTCTTAAGCTAGGCCCGATGGAGATGGGCCTCAATCTCTCCCCCAGATGATGTTGGATGGAGTGGAGGGAGGGTGCTTCAACTTAGGCTAGGCCCGATGGAGATGGGCCTGCATCTCTCCCCCAGAAGAAAAAGCCATGTGAATATTACATATTCTTATTTTCTTAACAGGTTTAGATATAATCACCAGGATTTTGTCTGCTTTCGCTTCACTGATGCCTTTAATATTGAGCAATTCCTTTTTTGGTGCATAGGCAACTGCTTCAACTGTGTGAAATCCAGCTTCTTCTAATTTCTTCACATCATTTGCATTTATGCCACATTGCTAAACAAAACAAAAGTATTGTTATTCACTACAACATACTGAAGTGAGAGACTTTTTTGAGTGCAAAAAGATGAGGTACTTTGCATACAGGTTTTGGAGGAACGGTGGGATAGAATTTTGTATAAAAATAAATAAATAACATTTTAATATGATGAAATATACACTCTGATAATTTATAAAATAAGTTGTATTCTTAGCTCATCTGCTAAATAATGTGTACTGTAATAATAATAGAGGATTTTGTGTATGTTTTTCAGGCAAAAATGTCCTGAAAATCATGATATTTTAAAAAATGGGTAGAGTGGAGAGGTTTGGGGGACCAATGAGGGGGCCTTCAGGTGCTGCAAAAGTGAGGTCCAAGGGCTACAAGCAACTCATGCTATGACTACTTCAGCTTAAAATGTCCTAAATAACTTGGGATTTGAATATGTGAAAGATCTGCCTAACCAATGTGATCATAATCTGAGACCCTTTCGCTATGCCACATTTTGGAAATATCCACCTATGAACAACCAAGATGATATTTTCTGTGGTGGCACCTGCTTTCTGGAGTACCTGTCCCCAAAGAAATAAAACACACACCAACACTGATGCAGTTGCATGTCAAAACCTTTTTTTGTTTGTCTCACTGTTTGATGTTTTGTCTTTAGCTAACTGGTTTCTATCTTTTTTTTTTTGTAGGCTTAGGTTGCATATGCTGTTTATCTGTCTATATATATTATTGCTGAATTATTATACACTATCTGGATATGTTGTACAAGACAAGTGTTATACAAATATCTTAAATAAAACCAGAGTTTGATTAAAGTTTCCACTGGTACCTTTGAGATAAAGTATGTTTTTAGTTTACTAAGAATAAAAAGCACAAGAGCATTCCTTGTAGGAAACATGCATTGGCACAATAAACAACACTTAAAGAATGTTTGGGCTTCCTAAGGCATTAAACACAAGTATATATTTTATAATAAAAATCACATACCTCCAGCCGTGAAATGGGTTGAGGACCAAAGCTTTCCTCCTCTGTTGATGCATCTATACTTGTGTCACTCTGCATTTGCATGGCCATGACATAAAGTATTCAATGTTTCTAACAAAACAGGAAAGTCTCATAAGTGACAGGAGGTTTTATGCAAATTGTTTGATACAACACTGTTTAATAATATTTTTATTGTATGATCACACAACAAGCTCTATTAATACTTGTTGTGTGCCTTCAAGCCATTTTCGACTTATGGTGACCCTAAGGCAGTCATGGGGTTTTCTTGGCAAGATTTTTTCAGAAGAGGTTTGCCATTGCCTTTGCCTGAGAGCATGAGACTCGCCCAAAGTCACCCAGTGGGTTTCATGGCTAAACTGAAAATTGAACCCTGGTCTCCAGAGTCTTAGTCCAGCACTCAAACCACTATGCCATGCTGGCTCTTTAAACAAAAAGGAGAGAAAAATAAATTATTTTTAAAAGCCTCTGCACACTGCTTTATATATTTTACAAGTGATCTGTCATATTTCTTCTCTATCAGGTATGATATTTTTACAAGGGCATGCCTGGCCTTGACAGGTGGCTTACAAAACGTTTTAGTAAACAAATAGAAAAATATAGCAGCTTCTTCTTTAATGGACAACAGGCCATATTGAATTTAACAAGATTCAAGGAAGGAGATCTGATTTATAAACTTTGAATGTCTTCCCTGAACAACAGAAGTCTCACTCGCTAGATTCCTCAGGGCAGCAGAGTGCCTGGAAGCCAAAGGATGTATCCACACTGAAAAAACAAAGCAGTTTGACACCACTTTAACTATCATGGCTCCATCCTGTGACTTGCAGTTTGGTGAGGCATTGAGCCTGGTCTGTCAGAGAGCACTGGTGCCTTGTTTGTTGTTATGTGTGTGCCTTCAAATCATTTCTGACTTATGGTGAACCTATCATGGTGGTTTCTGGGCAGGATTTGTTCAGAGGGAGTTTGCCATTGCCCTCCTCTGAGGCTGAGAGTGTGTGACTTACTCAAGGTCACCCAGTGGTTTCCAATGATGAATTAGGATTTAAACCCTGGTCTCCAGAGTCCAACGCTCAAACTATTACACCATGCTGTGGAGGCACTGAGCTTTCTCTGTCAAAGAGCTCTTGTGATTCACTAAACTAGATACCAGGATTTCATAAGGCAGAGTCATGGCAGTTAAACTGGTGTCTAACTGAATTATTTCTGCAGTGTGGAGGCATCTCAAGACATACATCAGCCCTTCCTTCCACAGCCACAGCTTGAAAAAGTTACTTTTTTCAACCCAGTGTGGCCAGCTGTCCTAATGGCAGAGGAGGACAAGGGACATGTAGGGCACTGAAGAAAAATGGAGGATATGACTAAATAAAAGCCAAAAGCATTCATAGAAAAATAAATCTCTACTTCTTAGTCCTGCTCAAAATGAAGGCTGTTTGGGAATTCCTCCTGGACAGAAGGCTGAAATAGAGGGAATGTCCTGGAAAAGGAGGATGCATGGTCACCCTGTTTCGACTACAACTGCTAGAACCCTTCAGCCAGCATGACTACTTCCAGGGGCAAAGGCAGGGTAACCAGGTGTCCTCCTTTTCAGGGGTAAAG